TACCCTCAGCTTCAGCCATTTTTGCCGCCATGTTAGGGCCTCGAGCCCCCCCCCCTCCCCCCGTGCCTCGATAAGGTAGGTAAATGTAACTTCTCTTTCGGATTCTACGACCCAAAATACGTATGAATAGACACCTTACTCGGCACTTTGAAGATCACATGTCCCTTACCCCGATTTTGGCCCAAATGTGACAGCCATCTTGGATTTGGCGTTTAGAAAAAGGCCTGAGTGAATTTTTGGTATATTGAATTTTACGACCAAAAATACTTAGAAATGGACTCCTCAGTTGCCCATCAAAAGGGTTGTTTTTGTACATTTCATACCCATGGGAGTGGTTCTGGTCGCCATCTTGGATTGGGGGTGTCTTTTCGGAAATTGAGAATGACAACATCGAAATCCTGTTTTTAGACATCAAGAAGAAGAGATTGAGACAACTCCAACACTTCTATCACTAATAGGCCCGGGTCCCTAAAAATGAACATATTTGCACACGGACTACATGGTGTGAAAATTAATTACGTACCAACGCGGTGAGCCTACTAGACCAAGTACCGTGGTTTGTGACCTTGTAGACTTCCTGTCATACTTTATTTCTTAAATGAAAAACTACTCAAAGCCCATTCTTGAAAACTTCCGTGTTTTTTCTTTTACGAAGGAAACTCTGTAAACGTTTCAAGAAATGATACTGATTTTGTCTTCTTCAAAAAATTAAAATGGAAACGGAATTTTTTAACGCCGCAAATAAGATACGTGGTCTGGTAGTTTCACCATCGATACCTAAAGAAATATTCAAGAATCTCCGAACTACCTTCTTATATATAAGGTAAAGGTCGGTTTTGACGCTTTTCACGAAATGGAGGTCAAACCGTCTGTCCGATCTTCCCTACAATTTGTAAACCGGTCCTCCCCGATTCGGTGAGTGACACTGGCTATTTCCATTTTCTCCCTGTCGTGATTTCGGGATTTTATGGTCAACAAATGGTAAAATTGGGGAGAGGAACGGGCCCACGGTTGCTAAGCATGCGTTACTAGGCACCTTTGTTTGCGATGTATATCGCCATACATGCGATAATCGATCCTAACTCACTATACAGGGTGGCCCAGACCTACCGTACCAGGCCTTTTTTTTCGGTTAAGTGGGGTCATGCAAAGTCCAGAATCGCGGGGATGAATAGGGAATCGACCCCGAGGAATCCGAATTTCATGGTCCCAGACCCCCCTGGCGGCCCTTGGGGGGTGAAAGGGGGGTCCGTACTTTAAAAGTCAGAGTTAATGTCAAAACTTTGAAATTATTTCATCGGAATCAGAACGTACGGAAAATTTTAGCTTAAATCGACACGAAGAAATCCAAAATCGGCCCACCCGTGTCCAAAATACCGACCCCTAAAGGCGGGGGACAGAGCCCCCTTTCAAAAAAATGCAAGTTCGTTTAATTGACGTGGAGACTCGGAAAAAATGTGCATTCCTGGGTAATAGACCCCAAGGAATCCGAATTTGAGGGTCCGGTTGTCCACAGAGACTTTTCTGATGAGGCACAGGGGTAACCTCCACACCGGTTAAATTTGAAAGTTCAGAGTCCCCCTGTGCCCCATCAGAAAAGTCTCTGTGGACAACGGGACCCTCAAATTCGGATTCCTTGGGGTCTATTACCCATGAATACACATTTTTTCCGAGTCTCCACGTCAATTAAACGAACTTGCATTTTTTTGAAAGGGGGCTCTGTCCCCCGCCTTTAGGGGTCGGTATTTTGGACACGGGTGGGCCGATTTTGGATTTCTTCGTGTCGATTTAAGCTAAAATTTTCCGTACGTTCTGATTCCGATGAAATATTTTCAAAGTTTTGACATTAACTCTGACTTTTGAAGTACAGACCCCCCTTTCACCCCCCAAGGGCCGCCAGGGGGGTCTGGGACCATGAAATTCGGATTCCTCGGGGTCGATTCTCTATTCATCTCCGCGATCCTGGACTTCGTATGACCCAAATTAACCGAAAAAAAGGCCTGATACGGTAGGTCTGGGCCACCCTGTATATCGATATATAGATATCGATTTGCCTTTATGTATTTGTTGTGTTTGATTGTGTTTCATGATGTGTTTGGTGTGTTCGATGTGTTTGGTATGTTTGATGTGTTTGTTGTGTTTGATGTGTTTGTTGTCACAAACAACACACAACAAACACAAAAAGCACATCAAACGCATCATGAAACACAATCAAACACAACAAACACATGAAACTCATCGAACACATCACGAAAAACAGTAAAACACAACAAATACATCAAACACAAAAAACACGACGAACACATCATGAAACAAAATCAAACACAATAAACGTGCTGAAAGTTATATTCATTTGAGAGATGCAGTATCTGGAAACGCAGATCTAACAAATATTGGTCAAATGGTGATTCTTCCTTCAAGTTTTACCGGCAGTCCAAGGTATATGCACGAGAGAATACAAGACGGAATCTCACGCATTAGAAAGTACGGAAGAAACGATCTTTTTATAACAATGACAATAAGTCCTAATTGGAAATAAATTCATGAAAACATAAATAAAAATCAAAGTCCCTAAGAGAGACCAGATATTATTTCAAGAGTATTCCATTTGAAATTAAAAACACTATTGCAATTATTGAAAAAAGACCATATCGAAATATTGAAATAACAATTCACTCTTGATAAACCACAGTTTAGTTCGATATATTTTCATTAGGGTAGGTGGGGGTAAAAGGCCGCACGGGGAAAAAGGCCGTACCCGACTTTTTTCCCAGAAATTTTTTAGGTTGGCACCGGGACCGTGTCAGTTATTTTGGTAGTGATGGTGCTGTTGTGTTGACGAAGTTTCGGACCGAACGGACGCGTTCCCTCGAAAATATGAGGAAAGTTGATTTTTCGTGAAAAAAAATCGATTTTTCCAGTTTTATTTTGGTCAATTTCAAGTTTTATAATTGATAGAAAAATTCGGACGAGCTGCAGTTCGAACAATGATAAAGATGGTTTGAATATCCCGCCGTCACTTTTCGGCTAATGGCCTTGTCTTTGAATTTTGAGGTTATGGTTACCTACGTCATCAAATGGGGCAAAAAGCCGCAGGTCTGATGGGGCAAAAGGCCGCACGCGGCCTTCACTAAAATAGCACTAATACTTAATCTATCAACTAATACTACCAATACTAAATCTTTTACTACATATTTTACTAAATATTATTAATAATTACCAAAGATTCTAAAATGTAGGGTAGGTGGAGGCAAAAGGTCACACTTTGCCGTTGCGGCCGTCTGTCAGCCTCAGCCGCCGTATCGCATGGAAATTCTGGAAATGTGGTAAAATATCAACTATAAACCCTTAGACATGAAATGACACACTTTCCAGAATTTTGAATGAGTTTCCGAAATTTTTACGAACTTTTCTGGAAGTGCGGCCTCTTTCCCCATTTTGGGGGCAAAAGGCCGCACTTACGAAATTTTTGAAAAAATTCATAAAAAATTCGAAAATGCTTTTAAAATTCTGGAAAGTGTGCCCTTTTGTGCCTAAGGGTCATTAGCACATATTTTACCACATTCCAGAAATTTTCACGCGATACGGCGGCCTACAGACGGCCGAAACGGAAAAATGCGGCCTTTCATCCCCACCTACCCTACTTTTGTTCACATTCGAGGTACTGGCATCTTGGTGCACTCGTTTGTGACTCCATGAGCGAGAACCAATTAGAATTGGATATTTTTTTTTTTTAGACCACTTTCAGCCCAACCTAGCCCTAACCTAGCCCAACCACAAGTGAGATGTCGTAACACTGTGTATAAAGGGACTCTACCCATGATGGTAGTTTCATGTAGGTTAAAAACGTGTAACGCTTATATAAAAAAAGAAATCAAAGTTCAGACCTGACCATAATATATGAAAAATAATAAAAGCTAGATAGGGTAATTTTTTTATAGACAATCTTTTTATTTTCTCATATAACGCATGCATACGAAAGTGTTAAAAGTGAACATTTTTATGTAACAATCACATTAAAAAAAGGTCATCATTTTCGTGAGATGTTCGCAAATTAGAAGATTTTTTTGTATGTTTGCGAAAAGCTCACGAAAATTTTGACTTTTTTTTATATAATGGTTACATAAAAATGTTCACTTTTAACACTATCGTATGCATGCGTTATATAAAAATAATTAACTTTCATACATAATCTTTATCTTTTCCTTCTATGATTCTGCTACTAGGGTAGTCATTAGAGGCCAAACATTCTGAAATGTAAGGGTCCTTATGACACCTAAAACTGCAGGCTTTTCTAAAGCTGTCTTTTCAACTCCAATGACCCCTACAGGATCTGGTTAGATTACTCGCTAAGATAAAGAACTAAACACAGTGGTCATGGGAGGGAAAAGAAATCACCCGGGGGCCTGTTGTGTCAAGGGCCAGGGGTGCTACAGCACCCCGGCTAATCCGACCCTGCATGATAACGCTAACGCTGAATAACCGGATACAGACACAGAGAGTAATTTCACAATTTGAGTAACTCTCCTAAGTTCCCTTGGAGACAAGGATTTTTTTTTTTAAAGAAATCTCATACCTACTTTCTCTTAAGATCAATGTATATTAAATAGCTACAAATATTTTGAGTTGAAGAGAATACAAACCGCTAGCGAATTTCAACCTGAAAAAATACTTGTAGAAAATGTATGAAATGAGTTGCAGTCGATCTAGGTAACCCATGTAGGGGGTGGCGAACTAGGTGCCTATTAAAAATGATTGTGCCAAAGCTTTACAGATTTGAAAGTGCATTCATGCATCATTTTCAGTCTTTATGAAAACTGTCAAACTACAAAATCTTAGTTGGGCAGTTGGTTACATCTTGTCTAGGAAACTGAGTTGGAGATTGGCCAATTTAAGACTTGAGGAGCTAAAAGAATTGGACCGAGATAAATTCGCCCATGGGTAATCATGAACGATAAAGTGAGGGTACAAGCTACCTGTACGAAAGGAGAACAACCCACCTGATACGAAGGACAGGAGCGAATGAACACACAACAGAGCGAAAATACGATTGTCACTCAACAGGCGCATAGCCGTGGACTACACATCCTTCGCAGTTGTCTTCACGGAAACAACTGCGCGGCTAGCAGCATCCTACCACCCACGCTCATCCCTGTACCTATCCTGCGCGGAAGACCCACAGCGAGAGAGCGACTGCGTCCGCCCGATGCGGATGCACTATGGGCCAGATTCTGTTCGTGACCGCGCAAAATTCAAATTTTCGACTTTAATTGTTGTCGTTTGATGTTTATAGATCGATACCTATTGATAACTAAATTTAATGGATTATCTAAATGTAGTTCGTGATACCTGCATCAGACGGAAAGGTCATAAAAATTGACGGATTATCATGAAAAATTAAAATAAAAAATAATTTTATCATCAAAAATAACATCATGGCTATAGACAAATAGGTGAAAGGGGCTTTTCCGGGGGCCCCTTTTGCCAAGTTTTGACAAGTGAAGCGCTCGTTTTGGCTCTCTCTACGAAATTTCACTAGGATATGTTTAAACCCTTTTTGATTTGGAGCAATTTATCGAGTTCGCTTAACCAATTTTCCCAAGTAGCCATTTCCGACCAAAATGTTGCAACAAACTTGAAACTTTGTTGAAACTTAGTTCCAACTAAGTTTTAACTTTCTTGCCACCCAGTTGCAACAAGTTGCAACTTCCAAACAACAAAGTGGATGCTTTAATCATAAGATTTTCAACAAGTTGATACTTTACACGGAAAATTTGTATCATCATGGAACTTATTTGCAAAAAGTCGGAACTGTTTGGGGAAACTTTTACCCCTTCCTTCCCTCTTTTTCAGGAGCCTGATGAACCTGGGAGCAATGGTGCCCATCCCCCCCAACGCAGTTGAGGAGTCCCCCCCCCCAAAATGGGACAACTCCACTCATTCAGCGGGGGGTCCTGGGGGCCTCCCCCGGAAAATTTTGAAATTTTAAGACCTACAAAACGCAACTCTAGGCAGTTTCAATGACTTAAATCCTCTTCTGAGACTATGTTTCTACTTTTTTTAAGGCTGAAATACACAATCAAAAATGAGAAAATTTTATATCGTATAGTATTACTATCATAGAATGTGATATACAGAATACACAGCGAATATGTTAGTTCTCATTTTTATTTACCTTTTACATGCCCATTTCACATTTTCATTTATATTTTACATTTTCATTTTACTTTTTCATTTTACATGTTTGCAATGAAATTATTGTACTACTTAAAGGTCAGTGCTTTTCTCAACTGCACAGATATTTGACCCACAGCATCAATAATCTGCTCATTTGTGATGCCGTAAAAAATGTCAAACTCACTAGCCAGCAACATCAAGTTCTCAGTCTGGAGCCCCCTTCTAGGGACGATCTGGCCAGGGACACTAGAGTGCTTTAGCAGCCCGGAAATTCTGACCCTCCCTTGAGCCACCCGCCACATTTTTCTTAGGGAGGAGGGATTTTTCATTGGGGGGCAGGAATTTTTCATGGAAAGTAAGACATTTTTCATGGGGGGGGGAGAAGAAATTTTTCATGGAGGGAGGAATTTTTCATGATATTGGAGGAGATAAATTTTTCTTGGGGGCAGAAATGTTTAATGGGGGAAAATTATCCATGATGAAGGGGCGGGGGAGCTATGTCTTGGATGAGATAGATTTCTCTTGGTGGGGAGGGCGGAGATGTAGGGGGGAGGACATTTTTCTAGAGGGATTGAGACATATTTTTCAAGAGAAAGAGATTTCTCCGGGGGAACATATTACCTAGGCTTCTTTTTTTTCGGGGGGGGGGGGGGAG